GGAGGGCTGCCGTTAAGTATTTCAAAGAAAACCGCACTCAAACCCAAACATCTCACTTTATAAGCGTGGGTTAGCATGAATACAGAGAGACAAACGCACACCTTGTTATGTGAATGGTTTAGAAGTGATTCATCACTCAAAAATACAGGGAACAAAGGACTTTGAACGCCCCCGTGTATCCCAAGGGTTCTGGTGGTAGCCACTGTTTAAAGGGCTTTTCTCTCAATTTAATTCAGGAAGGCTCGGATTGCTGATGGCTTTTACCATTCAGCCAATAATAGAGCTTTGCAACTAATGCTGCTGGGGCCCATCTGTAGCACCTGTGGAGGGCTGGCCATACAGCCGTCACTCTGAAACGTCCCTTCAGGAAAAACACAGCTGTCAGAACTGTAGAAATAAGATCAGGGAACATTTTATGAGAGAGTTAAGCTCGCCCTTTGTTGTTAAAATGTCTTTTGACATGTTATGGTACACGAACTAAGCAACAAATATAGTCAAATTGACCCAGAGGCAAAGTTAGAGCCCCTTTACACTGTTAATTAAAGTTAGCAAGCATATTTGGTCATCAATTAAACATGTTCCAAGGTCAAATAGTATAACATCACAATCTATCAGAATTTGGACATGTCACTTTTATGTTACTGCCATTTTTCTCCACTTCCTGTGCAGTCCCAGGCTAGACTCACTGGACCTCACAGCCTCTGATACCAATCAATTGAACCCTTATCTCAAGATAAAGACTTATCCTGTATATGGTACTTTTTGGATTTTCAAAAAAACTGAAGGGCAATGGTTTTTTTGGTACAGATTCCATAATCTACACACCTAAAATAGCATCATTTTTATTCGGATGCTGATAGACAATCCCAAGACATCAAGAGACACTTGTTTACCCCCAGGGCATTCCCTCCTTTTCACTATGGGCCGTGACCTCTTGGGCTGAGTTTAACCAAGAGGGTCACGATGTCTGTCTGGCACACTAAACAACAGATAGTCTGGCATTCAGCCCTGCTCGTCTCAATCCCATTCTCCTCTTCCCATTCCTGATTTGTTCAGAGGGAGAGCCGAGTGTCAGGTTCGGCTACAGTATCGCCTATCAGGGATTGGAGTCAGATCAAAGTGGCACAGAGAAAAGAGTGAGATCCACACCCCGACTACTAACCGTACAAAGAAGGTAAGGAGCAAACCCCTTCCCCTGGGAGTTGTAATGGGAGCGGCTGATTACCCCTGTGTACCACAGCCATTTGGACCAACCTGGGGGGGCCACAGTGGAGGATAGCATGCAGCTAATGATGAGCCCTCACATAGCATGGGCCAATGCTCCCAAATCCTTTTGGGCATTATTCCAAATGAGCTATATATATATATATATCCACAATAACAGCAAATGCCTTTCAAATGATAGCATACATATTACTCCTGTGCTGGCCCATCAAAATATATATCGTCTTATTTGTAAAACTTGTTAATTGCTGCGGACTCTACACTCAACAAACTCACATTCACCCCATCTTTGTCTGTGTTTATCTGGTGTTATCCCATATGCTGCATCGTGACGAGCTATCTTCCTCTTCCACCCTAGAGAAAATTAAGTTAGGACCGATCCGCTGCCGAATTTATCTCAAATCCTCGGCGATGCAGATCTAATTTCAGCCTCTTAGTACCACAAACAGGAAGAAGAAGCCAGTCGATAAACAGCCCATGGTCACTGTTGGAGGGAGTGAGGTGGTGGGAGAGCTGGGGCGGAGGGGAGAGAATATGGTGACACAGTGGAAAAGGAAAGTAGGGTTGTCATTATCTCCTGTCCAGTCCATCACTCACTCTATCAACCTTTGGTCTTCCGATTCCTGGGATAAACTTAATTAGAGAATGTAGGCTAATCAGCTAAAAGCATTTTAAGTTAATTGAAAATACTTAGAAAACTGCATGCAATCTGGTCTGACAAAATGACTTGAAATATGGATGAGACATTCATTTTTCTCAGTAAACATGTGTACTTGCTCAAATATGTAGATTCTGCCAACATCATGTTAGGTCAGCTTAGCACAAACACTGGAAGGGGGGAGCACTGAGGCCTGATTTCTAAATGTGCTAAAGCTAAGAAATAAGAAGTTGCACAATGATCTTTACTGTAAAAAAAAAACATCAAGGATTCACTTGTTATCACATAAGCAAAGAAATGCCTTTCAAGACCAATCTTTAGCTGCTCAATGAAAACTGTATTGCAGGTCTGAGAAATAAAGGAAGCCGTTCAGATTTGGTAGCGAAACCAGATGGCATGAGGAAGCCCTCTGGTGAACCTCTGATCTAATATTTCAAATGGACGTCTGACGGTAACAGCATGGCAGTGACAATATAATTTATGATTATGGCATTTTTATTATAATGGATTCTTATGGATATAATTCATGTACAAGCATGACCACCCACAACGTAATAGGCATTCAACATATAGCAGGAAAAAGGGGCTGTAAGATATAATTCAATATTTGGTTTTATTACACTTTGAATGTGAAATAAGACAAATGATTAACTGCATATTTTGTGTTTGCTCTTGTGAGAGGTAATTCAAAGGACAATAAAGTTGTCATAGTAAATCCATGGAACACACAGCATGGGGGGAAAGTTACGGTCCATATATTTGCAAAGTGTTGATTTTTCACACATGGTTTGCTAAGCTAATTTCATGACTCTAAGGTTTGCAGCTACAGTTCCCTGACTGCCCAACCTTCTCAGGAGTATAGTATTCACCAGGGAAATCTAATTACTGCCCACAGAACAGTAGATGGCCGGAAAATGCTTTATCAAGAGGTGTCCGATCAAAACAAAAAGATTTGTAATCGACAACAAAAACAAACTACAGAGAGCTAGTCCTTTTCTTCAAGTATACATCTCTTATTTACTTGCAATTCAACGGTTTCAATTCATTCATTTAAAAGCAGTCTTATTCATGTATTCATCAATAGAAATGTGTTTGAAGGCCTCATAACCAGACCCTGAACATCTCTTTCACACACGCTTGTAACACACTGAAGTGAAGTTGGGATTTAGTGAGATTTTTTTTGGGAATGAAAATATAGTATATTTCAATGCTTTGTATGCCGCTTATTTTTACCTCAAAACAGAAGGAAGGCTGGAATCTGGCATAAATGGACTCAAGTTCAGACGTAGTTAAACAGTGAGCTCTACAGTGGTTAGAGGTGCTGACATGATAGGCAGTATGAGGGGAATAGGAAAGGTCAAAAGTCAGACGGGACCATTCCTGACCCCACCAACACACCACACGGGGGACCATATGAGTGAATCCAATTAGGCCCTTAGCATCTTGTAAAGGTCAACAAGCTTTTACTCATATTTCGCCATCCGTCACCTTCTTTCACCATTTTCCTTTTTATTCTGATTCTCTCCTTACCTTTCTCTAGAGGCTATACAATTCCCATGCATGTTTCTAAAAACATATCAGAAAAGGGATAAGTATTAACGACAATTTTATGAAGTTGGAAACTGCTTGGTCGACAATCATTGCCAAGAAATCAGAACAAAAGAAAGTCAAACTAAATATTGTATTCAACCTTGTATGACAGGCTTCGAGATATATCAGTAAAACAAACAAATTGAGAACGTTTTCTGCAGTTACTAGCTTTTTATTTTCACTTTAAGCCATATCATGTTGGTGCAGTTTATCCAGCAGCTCTCTACATCAAGGGGGATAAAGGGATTGTCTGACAGCAGTTAAAAAATTAAAGATAATGGGACTATGCCACATATGGACGTTGTTAAGTTTGAATTCTTGTTGGTAGGTTTGAAAAGCTTGGATAAAATCTGTGAAGCTTCAGGAACCGCATTTAGTTAATTAAATTAGATACAGGATATATTAGTGAAAGGAAGTGACAGAATACATCAGACTGAAAAGAAGATATGAGAGTAACTAGGGACAGATCAAAGTGCCACATACGTTTTAGGATTATAACTTTGATTTTTAAGTATGATAAAAGAGATTTCACAATTACTAATCAGGGTTAGCAACTATTTACAATTCTCTGCTACAGTGACTGTCTGCCATTTGGCTAGGTCCACCACTTTGTTCCAGACAGAGGTATATCAACAACATTGGCTTTAACGATCCTTTGACATTTCATTTATTGCCACCACAAGGTTCACCTTCTCTACTTTTGAGTAAAATGTCAAACTGTTATGGATTAATGCCATGACAATAGTACAAACATTTATTTTTCAGCTCAGGAAATTATGTCAAAAACTGAGGTGACAACTCAACTTCTAATTTTCAGCTATCATAGGGCACATTTTTACTTTGCCTAATCAATGTAAAACAGTTAAGTCCCAATGAGACTGAGCTGTACTTTGTGATTTGTGCTAAGTGTTAGCATGGTAACAGGCAATCCTAAAAGTGTAAACATGGTAGACAACAGGCCTGTTAGCAGGCTAAAATTAGCATTAAGCTCAAAGCTGTGGACACTGAGTTTGGTTTAAATGTGAAATGATGTTAATGTGAAATATATTTATACTCATACATTTGAAATAACATTAACTGTAAGAATGCTGCAGTATCTCAAAGCTGAACAAAATAGAGCACTCTGTTCTTGTAAATCAGTATTACCACCTGTGCCATGGCTTTCTTTCACTATAGGCTTCACTAAGCCACTTACTGTAAGGCAGTGGTTCTCAAAGTGGGGGGCGCGCCCCCCCAGGGGGGCGCAGAAGCATGACAGGGGGGGCGCGAGAGAGCAGGAGGAAAAATGGTTATTAAAAAATTTTAAAAAACATATTTTGAAAAATTATTGATTCGAAAATANGCTACCCCACAGCACCCCCAAAATAGAATCTCTGGCGCCGCCACTGAGCCTGATTATTTGTGTTGGGGGGGCCCGACTTTTTTTTTTCTCCAAAGGGGGGGCCTGACAGAAAAAGTTTGAGAACCACTGCTGTAAGGTTACATTTAAAACAGACGTGTTCACTTTAAAGGGATTAGTTTTACTCACGATTTTGATGACTTGTCAGGCTTGTGCGGCTGGCTTGATGTTGTGCGTCTTGTGTGGTTAATCAAAAATAAAATACTTTTGTTTCCACACAGCCAACAAAGGAAATACCCCTTTTCAGCCATAACAAAATCTAAACAAAGGGGTCTAAACTCTAATATATTGATAAGAATACTTAGATTGTCTTTATGTTAATGTTGATCACTTTAAAAATGTCAACTGTTGAAAACGGTGTCTTGTCTACGTCTTCCGAACATGTTGCCCATATTTGTAGTTCTTGAAAGGCTTGTCCCCCTGGGATGTGTAGTCTTTTATTGTTCTATTGACTACAGAGGTCGCCGGTGGCAATGTTTTTTTGACCTTTTTCATTAAATCAATCATTACTAAATACTTCACATCACATCTAAGATTGAACTCTTCGCTGTTGGCTGTTCACGGTGTTGACAAGTGGTTTTTGTACAGTAGGACCATTCTCCCCCACTTTCCCTGACAAAGCGTATTACATGTGTGGATAGATAATGAAACTACATCAACTGCAAATCTTGACTTTACTTGTACGTACTGTTGAATGTTTCTTTGATACCAACTTAAAAAACTTCTGAACTTCTTTCCCAAACTGCATGTACAACTTTGAAGTAGGCTAATTGTATTCCAATTGAATTGTCCTACAGTAACTTGTGTATACCTGTTAAGTAACAAACCAAACTTGCCATGTCATGGAGCTCAGGATATACTTCAAAGCCTTGGCATGACATTAGATTTGTCACAAGTTTTTCACTCAATAGAGGATGCCTGCTAAATAATGGCTTGGAGAAATCAGTATATCAGTATTTCCTGTGACAAGTCTCCGTTTCTTTCTCGGATTCTTGTTCACATTGAATCTGGAAGCCTGCAAATGCCACATAAACCTAGGGATTAACCTCCCTGTCACAGGAGCTAAACTATTACATGAGAAAACCAAAAGTGATCAAACAATGATTCCAAAATAAAGACGGTGTCGGCCCTCTAGCACAATTGTGAACACATGTTTTGAATACAGAAGTAGACCATGAATAATAAGATTACACACTTACATTATTTTTCTATTAAACCACAAGATGAGAAACATGATCTGTAAAGTAATCTCGACATAATTTACATGAATTGACAGTAATGGACTGGACACCCTCTGTTCTGGGCCATGTGGTGTTGGACATATTGCCCCTCTTTGAAGTCCTAAATGTACTTTACAGCCATACCAAATGACAAATTGCATGTTGTGGGTCTGTGGCAAGTGTTATTATGTCTACTGTAAGTCTTATCCCATACTATTGAGGACACGTTGACTGACAATGATGAATTTCACCCTCAAAGAGACGACACGGAGGATATCGTCTGTGTCGGCCTTCACACCCGGCTCTACAAAGGATGTTCTGCACAAAAGAGAGAAACCCGACCTCCTAAATCACC